AAGGAGAATCGATGTCGTTTTGATCATGTTATTCTGGCTAGAAAGGCTCCTGTTGCACCGATGATTGCATCACTTGACAAACTGTTTACAGGGTGCCATACTCGCGCGTAGCTGAGCTCAGACAACTGGAGCGGACCAGAGTGTAGACCTGAAGGTCAAGCATCGACTCGTTGCAAAGCGCCCTGCCCTGCTCCTTTCTCTTTGGTCTGTTTCCGTTCAATTATTACCCAGTCTCTTTTTTGTTTGTGATGCAAAATGGCCGCCATCGTAATCATTGTCCAAAGCATAAACCTGGTGAGACAGGCATTGCTAAATCTACTGGTCAGTCAAATAGTATCACAATGAGCCAAGCTGTTTTGAATGGGGGGAATATGTGGAGAAGTTTGTTTGGCGTAGGTCAGTGAGCGTGAGACAACTGCGGCGCAATGAGCCAGGTCGCTGCATTTATCATCCAGAACACGACACAGGCTGCAGATTTAGAAGAGCTCCATATTCATTCTTTTCTATTTCCCCCTCCAACTTTTATTTCTTTATTGCTGGCCGTTACCGAAAAGATCAAGGTCGGATGTGCTGCTCCGCCCTGTTCGTCACGTTTTGGCTACCGGCGAGTTCATTCCGAACAGCGGTTTGTCGTCCCGTCTCTCTCGCACCTCCACGGAACACCACATGAGTGCGACGGAGACAGATCGACGTCAGACGTCCTTGTGCACGCGTCCCGAGTCGCGTCAACCCGTGCGTTTCTCACCTAGCTGCAGGGGTCAACGACCGCGCTTTGCTTCGCTTTGCAGAGCGTCAAAAACCACCAGAACACGTGCGCCTCACCCATGAGAGGAACGGAAAAGACAACCGAATCCACCACCTGCTAAACGGTGTTGCCACGCCCGAAAAAAGGTGTCAGTATCCTACTAGAGATGCGCTTGCCGAGATCCAGAGTAATCACTTCGTTACACCGTCTTCACCACAAAAGACTGATTGATACATTAATTTGTAATGGAGTGCTAAGTGTCAGTTGGTATACCCTCTCATCTCATAGCCAACCAACCGTTTTCTTGCGGTACAAAGCCAGCCAACTGAGGCGGGCTCAGCGCGCAAAGTTAAACTAACTTACGAGCCTCCCATCTTGCCGAGCGCCGCGTGCTTCAACTCCAGGACTCGTGAGGTCGCAGGGGCTCTTGTGTGGCGGCCGCAGCGGCTAGCGAGGAACAAATGGGACAGGTGTGTGTGTGTGTGGGTCCTGTCGGGCCGTGCCTCTTTGACGCGTGGTCATCAACGCTGCGAGGCAGCCAGCCTGCGCCTCATGCGTTACACAAGCTGCCTCCCTCCCTCTCTTTCTCTCTCTCCCTCGCGCGCACACACACACACACACACACACGCGCGCGCGCGATGCGTGTGCTCGAAATGAATGGCGGTTTGATTATCAATGAACTCAGTCGTACTGTACGACGCTCCAGTTGACCAACCTCGCCTCTTCTCTTCGCCCCCACGTTTTGCAACGAGTGAGCGTTGCCCGGCGTTGCCCAAATTCCGTGATTGAGAAGTCGCAATCGGGACGACGCTCCCCCACGGCATGACTTGGCCCGATTTTCCTTCCCTCTACCTTTTGTTTTCCCTTCCTCCGTCTCTTTTCCCGCCATGAGGCCATCTGGTTTGCGTCCCGGTGGAGAGGCGGAGGGGGGCGGTGCGTGGATTCCCCCGGAGGCCCCAAGCCCCAAGCCCAGGCCCCACCGGTCCGCGGAACCTTGTATCCCGTGAGTGTGACCTGGCCGAACCTAAATCGCTCTAACCTTGTTCAGCACCTACGAATCGACGCAATGCGACGCAATGCGACGCAATGCGAAATGGCGGCGCTGCCCGCAGCCTGCCCGGAGCCTGCCCGGAGCCTGCCCGGAGCCTGGCCGGAGCGCGTACCGAACGGGTAGGGTAGCACATTCGCCTCACACGGGAATAGGAATCCACATTCTCAGCTTCTCAGCGCGGCGCGGATTGCAGGTCACTATTATAGTGGCGATGTAATTTATTTTTACTTTGCTCCAGCGGCTTGCGCGTTGAGCAAGTGTAGCCGGCTGTTCAGAAAGCTGCACGACAGTCGCGGTTGTGAACCCAAAGAAAGGAGTTGTTTTTAGAACCAAACTCAATCAACCTGGAACAGAGTGAATTTCATTAAAGAATTCAGGTCACAAGTTTCAAGTAAGTAATCTTGCTAATGCAGAGGAACCACTTTCTCAGGTGCGGGCGAAGGGCGCAAGCCGCACGGTCCGCGAGTTGCGCGGCGCGGAGTACGGCCCGGTGGGTAGGCAGCCCACCGTGCCTCCGTGCGGCATGGGACGCGGCGCGCCGGGCGCAGCGCGGTCGCTGATGGCGGGAAACGTGTAGGCGTTTGTGTGTGAATGTGTGGTGGTGGAGTGGGGTGTTTGCCCGTCCATTTCATTGTGTGCAGGCAGCCTCATTTGACTTCACACCTGGATCGCAGTGGTGTTTACAGAAAAGGCTACAGTTTCCTGCAAGAGGTCAGCTCCCTCCTTCTACACTATTGTAAACATGCCGAGCCTTGCGTCGCTGATTATTTTCATGTTTTATTTTACTAGTTAAGCACTCGGAGGAGGGCAAATAGTTGGGCACATGCCCTAGAGTGCACAAAGCAAAGCTGAACGCTCCTGCTCCTTTATCGAAACTTGCAGAGAGCATAAAAATTGATGCTCGGTGTTTAACTGGAATGGTGACGCATGTCCCAGCCAGATAATGTCACGCCCCGTCCAGTTCAAAGTGAGTCAAGCGGTGGGCTGATAGGCAATCGACTAGTGGGGCGCTGGATCTTTACAGGTAGAGTGAATCACGGCAATTCCAGCGGAGGCCATTGAACGCAGAGAAATCAGCGAATCAGCGGCGCCGGAGATGTTTTGAAAACCCGCAGGGTTTCCCCAAAAGTAAACAGATAGACTTGGTTTCAACAATTTTGGAGTGATATAGAGGGGCTTGTCGGTCAAATTCGCTCTGTTGGTGGGACTGCCAGTTAATCAAAACAAGCAAATTTAAACTAAACGAGTATAATTTCTACTATCCAGGTGAGAAGGCAACGTTAACGGTTTGCCAACCAGCTGAGGGCGATCCTGTGCGAAAAGAGGACGTGAGAACTGTCCAATAATTGCTTCTGTCCAAATACGATGTTTTTAAAAGAAATTGTTACTTAAACTTGTTCATATACCCGACTTGGCACTGTGTCACCCGCTAGCGACGTTCTTCCCCAAACGCGTAGTTGTGGCTTGCACTCAAATAGGCCATTCTACGTGGGCGTCGCCTGCACGTACCGAGTATTCCGCCCCGCCACCGCACACGCTGGCAAGCCTGGCCCGACTAATTATTACTGAATTCGCAGAGCAGCTTATCAATCGCGTATGTAGCCACGCAGCGCCACACGCTTTCTCTCTTCTTCTGCGAAAACAGGCGGCGTGCGATCTTCGCCTTGACAGTGTGTCTGACTCGTCTGTCAGCAGGGGATGGACGCCCCGCCATCAAAAGGCGAAGCAGAACATCGACCCCTAGAACGACGACTTTGCTTCGAGGCACGTGACCCAAGACGAGGAGTGTGCAGTGAACCTGCTGACTGCGTCAGGGGAAGGGGCCTGATGACTTACACAGGTGTTTTGACCGAATAGAGCCAAAAATACGGTCTTCAGTTAGTTTTACCTACGTGATGTGCGGGGCACGCTTTGAGCAGCTGCGGTCACTTGCACAACGCGACCCAGCTTGGTGTGGTCGAGTGGTCAAGTCGGAATGACCACACCTGGTCCACCCGTCCCCTTGACGCAGCCCGTGCACAGCCAATGCGCAGCCCCGGGTGCTCTGTTGGGGCTGCTCGAGGGGCTGCTGCACCGCCTCGAATGTTTGGGGCGGAACGGGGCAGAAGGTAAGGTAAGGTCGCGTAGCTCCCGCAACTTCAAAATTTGTTATTTAAATCCACCACGTTCTATCGAGAATCAGCCCGAAAGAGTGTAG